TGACTTTTGCTAAAATTTCAAAATCAAAAGTTATCAAAACAAATTCTATGGGACTGAGAAATATTATTTTCTACTTTTTAGTCCATTTATAAAAGCGTTGTATATTAAAAAGTTTTTTTTATATTATTTATTTTTATTTAAATTTATTCACAATTAAAATGTTCGTCCCTCGCNCTTTTTGTTTATTGTTAAATACAAAATTTTAAATAATGAAAATCAATAATCAATCAATTAATCTGTCTTGAAGTGANATCGCCGTTCGGAGTCGGCGTAAAACTGTAGGTCCCTCCGCTTTGTGTGACAACATCAAGGCGCACGCCACAAGTCGGAGGAGAAGCTCGGCCAAACACTAACATATGTGTAAGCGCCAATAATGTATATAATGTTTCCAAAAACGGTGATAAGTCATGACCTCTTTGGCACGTCATGGCTATATTGAATAATTCATTGGAAATAATGGCACGTGTCGCCAACCTTATATAAAATACATTAGTTACATACTTTTCGCGATATCTTCGTTTGCACCTGTTAATTTATTTCTCTTTAAGATTTGTGTACTTAATTTGACATTTATCTATTTCTTCTTGACTTTCTCTTATTAGAACATTCAACGATCCAACAAAGGACGCACCGGCTGGCCACAAGATGTCTGGGCTTCGGAATTGATTCCTGATCAGGAGTGATAAATATTATTGTGATTTCTACTTTTTGTTTTATTAAGTTGTAAGATAAAAGCGAATACAATATTTTAATTAAGCGCTTAAATAATATATTGTTCTTCAAAGGGGGACATCGAACCGCTATTGCTCGCTAATAGTGCATGTATGGTTTTTTAGTATTATACGTATGCGTACACATATGTATGTATGTATTACTAAAGACACACATGTAACCAATTAATACATACCTGAATTATTAAATGTCGTTAATTTTGTTTTTAGATATGGATATATTATTTACGCGTTATGATTTAGTAATTATTTTTAAGTATGCAAGAAGTTCAGAAAATCAACTTCAAATAAATATCAAAACACAAGGTCTACAAACATCTCTAAAATCCCCTAATTAGCATATATGCATGTATATACATATGTATCTACTAGTTTGCATGTTGGAATGTCGAAAATAAAATATACCCCTTTTCAAATACAATTCGATTTTCATTATGCCTAAAAAAATTTAAGAATTGTTTTATTGTTTATAAATTTGGGATTGTATTGCAGCTTCCTATGAACGCACGTGTTCGGAAGTACTTGAACACTTGAAACTAAAGATTTGTTTTGATTGAGTTTGTAACCCTTAAAATCGAAAATAATCTTATAAACAAAGTTATTTTTGTATATTTCAACCTAATTAACCCGGAATAAACATCCACTTGCACTTACGTGTGTATGCATGTATGTATGTACATATAAACATTTACACATCAGAAATATGTTTTTATTTAGATTTATAAAGATGTGTGTATATAAGATTACCTTACAAGTTGATATATACATATGTATGTGAGTGCATACATTCATATTTACGTATGTACATACATACATACATATATATAAAGGTAAGCTAATTAACCTCTAGTTTTTTATACGTTTGTACCAGGGTTAGAATTACGGCAAGCCTAAATCGGAGTAAATGAGGTGAAAAACGTAGCAGAAAATAAAATTCCGTAGTATAATTTGTTTTCTTTTTAGATAAGAATGTAAAAATAGCATTACATTACCCTTTAATTGCGACCTGCAACTATACTTTTTAGTATCTATAACACAGCAGTAGCGTAAAAATTTACAATATTTCTTATATTTACCAAAAATTAAAAATAGGATGTGTTTAATGACAAAGATATACCTTCTAACTAGAAATGGCAGTGATTAATCATTTCATTAAATTAGTCGATTATTTTTGTCCAATTTACGATTTAATTATATCGTAGTTTTTTGTTTCATTAATCGATTGTAAAAATATTTTCAAGAAATATGAGTTCTGTAGTTGTCTAAAATCCATCCATCGAACATTCTCTTGTGATAGCTGTATCAACTTTACTCGACCCGAGGTTCAAAAAAATATATTTCAAAAATTCGTTAGCATTGGCCTCAGTAATGAAGTTCTTGTGAAATGATGAGATTTAATACGATTTTTGAGGAAACTTACACAATTACAAATGTACTACTCTACACCGCTTTACCCACCATCTTCTTCGATTTTCTTGCGCAAGTATAAAAGAGCACTCATTGCAGTATATGAACTAAACAAAAAAGTCTTAGGGCCGTTTTTTCAAGTAACTTTTCAAATTTATGTCGCCTTCAAACATATTTTTTTCTAAAAAAAATACTACAGATGCTTTCCATTCNAAAAAAAATCTTCGCTATTAGAGATTTGGGTTGATTGTAGTTCAAAGTGTCTCTTTCCCGGTAAAAAAGTTTGAGAGAAAAAAAAATACACTTTTTGAAAAATTAAATTTAAAAAAAAATTTGCACTTTTTGTTTATTGTTAAATACAAAATTTTAAATAATGAAAATCAATAATCAATCAATTAATCTGTCTTGAAGTGACAAGAATTACTGACATTTGAGTAAAAACATTGTTGGAATCTATTACATTTTGACAAAGTTATGGGCATTTCAAAAAAACATTCTCACTGTCAATTCGAATAATCGATTTTTGCCTGAAAAACAAATTCGCGTTTAATTCGGCCGAAAAATTTTTCCGAGCCAAAAGAAAAAATACGTATCACATTATTTGGACCAACAAACAATGTATTTGAGTTTGGTCGAAATTAAAAATCATGCTCGTACCTGACCGGTTGTCTGGGAATGGAAAGCATCTACACTTTTTTAAATAGGAGAGATCAAAGGGTGATTGTCTTCCAACGGTACATAATTCTTTAGCTTTTGAAAATATATGTATAAGGACATAAAGTATTATGTATTTAAATTGAGATAAGCTGCATTCTTATGGTGATTTCGTTTCAACCAAAAAATGTCGCCTTTTGACAGCACCTTTCTCTTTTTGTGCTCAATTTTAAAATCGATTATTAATCGATTAATTGTGGAATAATCGTAAAAATATTTTCAAGAAATAGGAGTTCTGTAGTTGTCTTAAACGGCGTTTCCACGACAACCGAATCACGTGGTTCGCTCTCTCAATTATGAACGGCGAATCAACGTGTTTACACGACACATTCGTGATTCACTTTGCATATCTGCTTCTTGTTCTTTGCTTTTGTTTGATGTTTAATTTGCTGTTTATTGTGCATTTCAACGGTGGAGAAAAAATTTGCAGTGGTTAATTAGCTAAATCAATAGTTTTAACGAATCTAGCTATTTCTTAAATGTTTGTGCTGGTGGGGATGTGTGTGGTCTATGTGTTTTGACAGCCGTTATCGATAAAAATTAGAGAAGACAACGATTTGTTCTTGATTCGCATGTTGTGTGGATCTGAATCTCCTACGAATGAAGTGATTCGCTCTCAAAATTTTGTATGGCGAATTACGTGATTCGGTTCTTAATTGGGGCGCCAATCACGAATGAGACCCGAGGTTCAAAAAAATATATTTCAAAAATTCGTTAGAATTGGCATCAGTGATGAAGTTCTTGCGAAATGAAATAATGTGCACAGATGTCACAAGATGAAAGAGTTACTATTTATGTGAATTGTCAAGTCCTAGAACTAAAGTGGAAAATCATCGACGCTTGGGAGGAAATAAAAACTGTTTACCCAAAACTTAACGGACTTTTAAAAAAAATACTTACTAAACTAAATGGTACCTCGTGTCGGCTAGAGTTACCAACCGTACTATAATATATAGTATTTTTTCGGTCAGAGTACTGTATACTGTTGATAACAATATATAATGCAAAATACTATATTTATTCTGTTATAAATATAAATATGGATATTTCAGTAATTTGCAAGAAAAAATGCGCATTAAAATGGAATACTGAAATAACAATGTTAAATGAAATATTCTTTAAAGTAAAAGGTCATAGTGAGTTTATAATCAAAAAGGGTAATATATTGTTAAAAATACTGAGAATGAATTACCAAATTCTTCAAAAAATTCTTTCATTTCTTACAAACAAAATGACTGCTAAAAGTGACACTGATAAAAATGATCTTTTGATTTATATTAATTTAAATTTTTTATGGCATATTCCAAATTTACGTTCGATTCTAATGCCCTGTATGCAGCCATCAAGAAAACGGTCAAGAAAATATTGCCATTATTTCGTGTATGTGTCCAAGGAATTTTGACATTTTTGATACTTCACAGCCTGTTGACTCACTCTTTCCTCAAGAATTAATGGAACGGGCATATATTTCTGTTGCAAACCTGGGTTTCCTTGTGCCCTTTTTCACAAAAAAACCGTAGTAGAAAGCGTACACAGAGAAATTTTCGTTTTCAAATTTCTATAGAACGTTTTGCTTTTAAAAACGTTTTGACCCAGGTTTTGCGCCTAGAATATTTAGAACGAAAATTTTGTTTCTGATACGCACATTTTTAAATCGGTTTTGAAAACGATCGTTTGATAATTGAACATGCGCATGTTGGAATTTAATCCTAAAATGTCTTCTTCGTTTTAAAAGTATGCGTTCTCGAATATTATATTCAAATTTTATTTTTATTAAATCACAACAAGTCGTTTGGAACACACATTGTCAAAAATATATTGCTATATATACTTATAAATAAGTTACAACATTTAATAAATGAAATACAGAGGTTATGTATTTATGTATGTATATACTATATCGATGGCTGAGTGGAAGATCGACCTATCTCGGCTGCCAGTTCGAAAACNCTTGTCACTTCAAGATAGAATGATATAATTATTGATTTTCATTATTTAAAATTTTTTATTTAACAATAAACAAAAAGTGCAATTTTTTTTTTTTAATTTAATTTCTCAAAAAGTGTATTTTTTTTCTCTCAAACTTTTTTACCGGGAAAGAGACACTTGGAACTACAATCAACCCAAATCTCTAATAGCGAAGATTTTTTTTTCTGAGTTATGAATTTTTATTGAAAATATATGTTTTTGTGGTACATACTACAATATTCTTATATTGTTTAACTAAATGGAACATATGTATGTAATATATCAGCAAAAAATACAGCCGTGATCATTTTTTGTGTATCAAATAGATATTAGAACACACTTTCCACCATACAGTTTCGAAATACAAAATCTCATTTTCCCGCTTTTTATAATCGAAACTGTATGGTGGAAAGTGTGTTCTAATATCTATTTGATACACAAAAAATGATCACGGCTGTATTTTTTGCTGATATATTACATACATATGGGCATTCCCATGGTGGCGCACGTGACAGTCGTACGATTTCAATGTGATACAAAAAAGGAATACCATTTGTTTTCTTTAACTTTTTTGGGCCATTGTATAGCACATAATTAGCTCTATATTTAACCGAAAAATGAAATCAATCGAACTGCTTGGTCCTGAAATATAAGCATTTAAAGAGAGTGTCGTTACGTGACAAAAAATGGAAGTTGATTTTTTCTTTTCTTACAAAATCGCAAAACTCTGCGAATTGTGGATGGCTATTTTCATGAAACTTATTTTAATATGATTTG